CAAAGTCTAAGCCGTATCATGTCTTTCGCCATGTAGCTACATGGCACGCACAGTTGCTGCTTCCCCCAAACCCGACTCTTTCTTCACCTCAGGCCGTTGGCCATTTTCGATTTGCAGTTGTCAAAAATTCGCACATTTTTTTAACGACGCGGATCTCCCCGGCGCCTCCCCCAACAGCCGCATTGTGCCTTGTTGTAGCCGGCAATTAAAATTGGTTCCCTTCCTCTGAGCCACAAAGCTGAGCAGCGTCCGTCTGTCGTCTTCCGTCCTCCGGCCACAATAAAATTTGCGGAGCAACGCTGTTAAATAATTTATGAAGTGCGTAGGGTTTCTGGTGCGCATTTCAAGCAGCGCCTGTCGACTTCGATATATACACTCTACAATATATACATATATATGTATGTGTGTGTGTATATATATAATTATGTATGTACTGGGGCATCGCTCACGCACTTTTTGTGCGCACAGCCGGAAAATATTTGTACACGCAGTTTTACCTCATTAAACTTTTTGGACACATTCGTTGAGCTGCATGCAAATGCTGCTGATTAACTTTTGGCAAAAACAACAACAACAACAACAACAAAACGAGGTGAGCTCAGGTGTGTGCGTGTGTCAGGCCTTGGCGCCAGTTTTTGCTAGGCGGCTGCGCTTTCTGCCTCAATGGCAGTGCCATAAATCAAGTAATGCCACAGAGCAAGACGCGCTATGGCATCGCAATGAAAATCAAAAGTGAACCAGAGCCTGAACCTGAACCAAAACCGAAATAGAAGTCCGAGTCGGCTAAGTAAAGCCCATTTTAACTGACGACACGTTCTGGCAATAACTGCGAGCAGCTGGGTTGAGCATCTTGACCAAGAAGTGCTCGCTCAACCACAACAACAACAACAACAACAACAGTGAGCCCCTTCCTTGACTTGCCATCGTAATGCAAGTGCGAAGTCTGGTAAACACGGTCTGAGGAGCCAGCCAGCCCCATGCTAAACCGAAATGAAACGAAACGAACCGAACCGAAGTGAAGTGGACAGTGCCCGAACTAGACTGAACTGAGCTAAGTTGAACTGAACCAGAACTCACACCCATAGCTTTAGCTAAAACCTGATTAATTATGAATTGGAAAAAACGTTGCACTTGCTAAAGTCGCGCGGGCGCGCGCCTCGCTCTTTTCATATTTTTACGGTTGCAGACTTCGCGACGTGACGCGACGCGATGCGTCGCGATGCGTCGCGATGCGACTCGACTGCAGAAATTGTCTAGGGGTGCATTCGAGCAATAACTTTTGTCACGCTATAGGGCTCAGATAAGCACAGAAGCAGGCGCTTGCGCAGATACAGGGGCGCAGCTGCAGGTGCACATCGACAGGTGCGCATCCATAGCTAAATTACTTAATTTTCATCTAGTTTAACATTTATGTCATATTAGCCTCATCTGCTTTTAGGCAACTAGGTAAGCCAGCAAATCTATGTATGTATACTCAATACTGGAATTTATTTTGAATATTATATAAATTTAAATATAATATACTTTTACACATCTCCATATTTATATTAAAACACAAGTTAATAGACTTCAAAGTTTAAAAAAATGTATTAAATACAAACACTTGCACTCTCTAAATGCATCCATCTTACGGTGAATTTCTTTAGTAATATGTCTAAATTTAATTTTTTCGATTAAATGAATGGAGTAAGTTCTAGTTCATTAGCTTTAAGAAAAGAAAACTATAGTAGAATTCGGTTCACGATAATTATGGTCCCCAGACAAACTTATATGAGCGAACTTATACGGTTATAGGGTTTTCCGAGTATAAAGATGGCCCCTTGAACGTTGCTATAATCGGATTCTACTGTATATGAATGTTTTCTATTGTTCGCATACATTGAATAAATATATGCAAAGCTTTTAGGTGGTATTTAAAAAGGAAAGAAGCAGACCAAAAAGAATTAATAAATTAGAAAAGACTAACGCAATTAACTCGAGCACAGAAATTTCTACTCTTAAATGCTGGTCCGTTTTGGGCGCGACTTTAACCAAAGTCCGCTACTGTCAAAAATAAAAGACTTTTTTTCTCGGGCTTTGGCTTTGGCTCTGCCTGGGACAGTGGCTGAGTCTCTGACTGGGGCAAGTCCTGAACTTGGACATGCACAATGCTCAACTACTCAACTGATCAACTGCACTACTGGTCAACTGCACTACTGCTCAAATGCTCAAATGCTCAGCGGCACGTCTCAATGTTTATTATTGTTGTTGTTTTTGCTTTTTTATACTCATTCACGAAAGTGAATTAGTATATTGGTTTTGTGCAATGTCCGCCTTGCTGTCCGTCCGTCTGTCCGTATGAACGCAGTTTATTTCGGCGATATGGAAGCTAGAGACTTGAAATTTGGAACACTTGGTCATGTATATCTCCGAAACCGCCAAACCGCCAAAAGTTTATATCTCCTAAAGTATAAGAGCTAGAAGCTTCAAATGATCTATAGATGACCCTAACATAATTTGTACGCCTTTTTAGGGGCGTGGCATATCGAAAAATACCCTGTAGTTTTCACATTTAGTTCTTAGAACTGACCAAATATGAGGTGTCTACACCCAGTTGGGGCGTGGCAAATCGGGAGAAACTGCTTTTATATTGCTGATGGGATCTGAATGAGTATTCCGCAATCGGTAACGCCCGACTGCAACGTTCTTACTTGTTTTATCATATAAACGGTGCGATTTAAATTAATAATTAAGTCTGCGCTTATACTGGGCAGGTTCTTTTTGCGTTTTCCGTTTGCGATTGCGTTTGCGTTTGCGCATTGGCGAGGCCAGCATTTCGCCAGCTGTTCGTCTTCGTCGCCTCCATGTCGGTTGCAGGTGGATGCGGATTAAACCGCCACAAAGTGTAATAAATCAACGGAGACATTGTCCATTTGCCATTCACCGTTTGCCGTTTGCCGTTTGGCGGCAGGGAGTGTAGTGAGTGCAGCCAAATGCGAAGCCCTAACCCAGAGTGCCCAGAGTAGGAAACGTAGTTCGTGTCATCATTGATATGCCATATAAGATTCTGTCGGATTTCCATTAACTCATGCACAGGTGAAAAACAATGAGGAGAAAGAAAAGCCATACAAAAATAAATATGATTATACATAACAATGCATAATTTGAAGACTTAAGACTTGGCTATGCCAAAGAGGACGTTTAGATAGCGATCAGTGATCATGCTGAAGACCATGTGTCTAATCGGTCAGCCGGCCGATTGTGCTATCGCTTTTTGCTTGCTTTTTGATTCCCTTGGTTTATTTTGTTTGAGCATTGAAATAAGCATAAGAAGAGCCTATATGCTATATGTAAATGATAGATTGAGACAATTCGTTGGCTTAACCATAGGCCAAAAAGTAAAACATTCCTTACTCTTTTTCAAGATTTGTCGTTTTTCGCCTACCCAAAGCACTATGGGTAAAAATACCGATTTTTTGGCATTAACTGCAAATTTAACAGCTCGACTAGGAGATAACCTGAACCCTCCAAGCTGGCATTCTAATCATCCTGCACTTCTTTTAAGCACACATACATACAGATGCTTCCACGTATATGTACGTATAAGCACGCGCTCTGCTAACTGCGCAGTACGCAGCGACTGCGCTTGGACTGCGCTGCAGTGTGGTCAATATTATGAGAATTTTTTGTTGAATAATTTCTTTTGTAGACGGACAATATTTGTGAAAATTTCAGCGGGTTAAAATGGGTTAAATGTGTTGGTTAAAATGTGTGTACATATTAAAGCACAAGCGTCTAACATTTATAGGATGTCTTATCGAAAAAATAAGATAAATTCGTACTGCGCATGGTATGCAGGGCTACATATTACAGTAATATTGAAACAGCACACTAGGCGCACGCAGCTTCAGCTCCAGGACGTTATCATTTTTCGATATGCCACGCCCCCAAAGAGGCGTAACAATTAATATTGGGGCATCGATAGAGGAGGTTATCAGTAACTCAATTATCAAAATTTTCCGCTTCTAGCTTTTAAACTTCTGAGGTTCAGCTTTCAAGCTCTTCTACTAATATGATTTCTGGCATACCCGAAAATACATTTTCCGATTTGTCATGCCCCTAGTGGACGGATCGGGATAATTTTAGCACATTATAAATTGAGGGTATACACGATAATGTTCAATATACTTTCAAATTTGCACAACTTAATGCATTCAGCCATCATATGAAAGCAACAACAAAAATACCTCATACAAATCTACACACTAGAAATGGGCGTTCCAAAATTTCGAAAGCTTACGCATTACGCGTAATTAATCTACAACATAAATAAGTAAATAGTCTTCATCACTAAAAGTAAATAGTCCCGTTTCTAGTAGATTCCATTTGGATGTTATTGTCACGATCTGAAAGTTTTATTAAGCAATTTAATTCCAATGGTAAGTCTACACAGAATCGAAGAAATTTTTGAACATAAGGTCTCAAATAGAGCTTTCTAACTTGTTTAATTCATACTGACTTAAAATTTTGAATGAACAATTACTTTATTCAATTTAATTTATTTATTGATTTTATTACATTTTTTCCTGTCCCTTGGAACACCAGCCAGTGGGGTCCAATCGACAACGATTGGCATTCATTCAGTGGCACTCAAGTCTGGGCAAGTTCTATTAATTATAGCCCATAAAATGTCACCCTGGATTAGCCTGTCAAGCTGAATGAGTCGAACCACACCCTTTTATCAATTGTCTGACTTACCAAAGTTAAAGACAAACATCACCTATGGAAAACAGCTTGGGCCTTTGTAATTTCCTAAGCTCCTATTAAGCTATAGCTTAGGGAAGAGCTACAAATGCCTGATGCAAATATGACAATAGTGACAATAGTGGAAGGCTTGGCGCGGTATCTGCCAGTCGGATACTCTCGGCCACAGCGTCCAATGGGACATTGCTCTTGTCGCAATATATAAATTGACATTGATGGTTGAGTGTCTAGGGGGTAATGAGATTATCAAGGGAGGAAACGAGAGAGAGAGAGGGAGAGAGAGAGACAGCTTTGAGATAGCTGTCATAACAGTCAAACATGTGGCTGAAACATTTTCAATAACACAAAATTTGCCGTGTTCGTTCACTGAACTGTCCAAATAAAAAAATCAACTGCGTAGGAGACGGAAGCGACGATCAGTTGGAAAAAAACAATTGCAAAAAAGATAGGAAAAGGACAAACCACACGGGGACAGTTCAGACTGCAATGAACCAATTGACGCGCCAAGAACAACAATAGCAACAACAAGATTATCAACAACAACATTATCAACAATAGCAATATCAATTGATCTTGCATAAGTCGGGAAGTCGAACAGCGCTAGCCAGGATCAGGATCAGAGTGAAAATCTGAATCTGAATCGAAATCGAAATCGGTAACAACAGATACGAACGAAAACTACCCAGACGAAGATGCTGTTCATGGACGCGCTGTTCAACAGCTTGCTGGTGGTCAGCTCCGGCTATGCAATGTACACGCTGCATCCATTGCAGACGCCCTATGGTTACGCGGCGGCGGCGTTGAGTCTGGTCCATGGGCTGCTGGGCGTGGTGCGGGCGGCGAACAATGATGACGATGAGTGCAATCGATTACGTCAGATAACTTCTGGTATTATGGAGCTGGTGCCGCTGCCATTGGCCAACATTGAGCTCTACTTGAAGTCCTCGAGCCCGCACTTGGCCATGGCGCACGGCTGCTTCTTGGTGCCGCTCACCTTCGATGTGGTGGCCAAGTGGCGCGACGTCGAGGACAATTCAACGATGACACTTAAGGATCTGACCCTGCTCGGCAATGTGGTCTCGCTGCTATTCCTGGGCGTCAATCAGTCCAGTAATATCTATGGGGGGATGGCGGCCATCGCCTTCGGAGCGCGCTACGGATCCGTCATGTTCGACTATTACTGGGAGGGCCTCGGAGTCCAATTCAACTTACTGGCCAACTCCGCCTTCATTATGCTAATGGCCATGACGCTGACGGCCAAGTCCTAAACAACTTACCCAACCTAACCACCAACTGATGAGCAGCATCATTTGATCTTTTGTTTCGCCCGGCTCAAGGCTAACGCGTGCGGTTCATTGGCTCAACAACGGCTCAAGCGACGGCAGCGACGGCGGCGGCTCAATAAACTTGCAATTAATGTTGGCAAATTAAAATGCACAAAAATAAACATTAATTGTTTTGTCAAAAAATTAAGTGTTTTCTTCCCTTCCTTCTTTCAGCCCTCGCACCCGCTCTTTCTCAGGGCGGCGGCTACAGAGACAGCCGGCAACAATTCAAGGCAAATTTATAGCAAATGATGAGCCATTGAGCAGGAATAGCCAATGCCGAAGCGAACCGGTTCTGAACCAGTTCCGAGCCAGACAAACTGACAAAGTTGGCTTGATCGACGCGTTATCAAGAACATACATATATGGAATTAGCGTCAACTAATGCGAGGCTTCCTATTGCGGAAAAATGTAATGATTATCCTAGTCGGCGATTGCCGATTGTTCTAGAATTAATGCTGCACAGCTTCTGGTAATATTTTCTTATGAGTTGAGTCATATCAATGGTTTTACCTAATGAATTTTAATGCATATATGATATATGTATGTATGTATGTATATTGTATACGTTAATATATAAAATATTTGTGTATTTGCTGATCAAATCTTAGCAATATCGGCTTTTTTAATAAAGAGTTTTGGATCGGGCTCTCGTTTTATGAGCATCAATTAGCCACCTTAAGCGCAGGCACGCACACGCACACGCACATGGACTCACTCACGCACGCACACACACATGCGCAGTTTGCCGAAACGCGCTTTTCGTTGTCTGCTTTTGGGCGCCGCTGGAGCCGAAAAGCGAACGCCGAGTTGTGAATGGCAAAGGGAACTAACAGGAACTCGTTGTACTAATGAAACGGCGCCATAAAAAGCGACAACAAATGAGCAGAAAGGCGCAGCGAGCAGGACGGGGCAGAGCAGGGCAGGGGCTGGAGCGGACGGCAATAATTTATGCATTTTAATTAATTGGCAGTTGAGTGTGTGTGGATTTTAGGAACGCTTTTATGATGTGCTCAGAGCCTTTCAATGCTTCGACTTCAGCTTCGGTGTTGGTGTCGGCTTCGGCTTCGGCATCGCGACGCGTCGGTAATGGTTTCGTATCCTCAACTCCAGTCCCAATCATAGTTGCAGCCAACCAAGTAATCATGCCGGGTGCGTCTTTGCATATGCATATATGTACATGTGTGTATCCATATGTATGAATGCACACACATATGTATATATATACATATGTATGTACACATGTAGCATGTCGATTGCGGCGCTAGCACACAAACATATCCATTTTGCTGGTGAGAAAGACCAACGATGCGTCTGCGACTGCGCTGCGACAACGTTAACGGCAGAGGAAATATCGCATCGGCAAAGATAACAAAAAATTAAAGCTAGCGAAAGAGAACCGCAAAAGCATTTCAAAAATGCTTAACAAAGAAGGTAAAAAGAACAAAAAAGGAAAAGAGCGAGAAAGGAAGAAGTCACCATATTCATATATATTGTATATGTATAGATGTGTATGTATGTGTGTGTATTTACACAAATTCAACGCAAACGAAAACAAAATAAAAAACGAACAGAAGACAACAACTAAAAGCGAACGCGCGCAAACTGCAAGCCAATGCGCCGCCGCAGACGCTACTCGCGTATGTATGTGTGCGTGCCTTTCCAAGTTCAAAAACCGGCAATGTACACTTGCAAACTCACACACATACATACGTCCATATGAATGCATGTACATTTGGGTAAACATACTGTGAGTCAATCGCAGTTTGCCGTTGCCCCGGCAGAGGCTGAGTCTTACTCGCAGTGGCACTCGGTTAAAAACGCCGGCCGGCATAGTCGTTTGTTTTTTTTTTTTTTTTTTTTTTTGAGAAGACCAACAACAAAAAAATAATAAAATGAAAAGCAACAAGTAAGAAAGCTCAGGCCAGACTGCTCGACTACGAGATCCCCTGGACCCTTTGAGCAACTCATATTTCAATAATTATTCGCTTATTTTCTGCTTATAAAAGAAACTCACACACACAATAGGAAATATAATTTTATAGCCGATAAGGTTTTTAATCGATAAAAATAACGTGATAAGCTATCGATTTTTGGAGATAAACTGAATATCCGCGCTATATATGTATGTACATATAGGGACATTGAAAAACAAATTTTAAATCCTTAGGCCTTAAGTCTTTTGAGATCCTTCTACCAGTTACATATATTTCAACAAACCATTATACCCGGATTTCCCATTTTCAATGGGTTCACGGTATAAAAAGCGAAAATAAACGAGCAGCAGCCACAAGCAAAAAACAAGTAAGAAAGCTCTAGTCGAGACTGCTCGACTACGAGATCCCCTGAACCCTTGGAGCAATAGATATTTCAATACTTTTTCGCGACTTTCAGCTTACACAAGAAACACGCACACACACACACACGCACGTACGCAAACACAGGCATACATACACACACACGCATACAGACACACATACACACACACACGCATACATACACACATACACAAACACATACACACACACATACACAAACACATACACACACAAGCAACCATGCATAAACACGCATGGGCTGCAGTGTGCGCTTACTATGAGAACTTAATTGTTTAATAACTTTTTTTATGGACGTACGATCTTCATGAAACTTTTAGATTATAATTATAACATGAATATGCATGTACTTGCCAAAGCACAAGTCTCTAGTATTTGAAATACGCTTTTTACAAAAGTGAGGGTGAGGGGGTGAATTTAGAGGTGGGGGGTAAATTTTAACAAAAACCGAAATTGTATAAATTGCATATAAGCATACATTAAAAATTTGGAGACTCTAGCAATAAAGGTGTAGAAGATATAATTTTATAACTGGGTTTCGATAAGGGTTTTTATCGATAAAAAAATATCGAGATGAGTTATCGATTTTTAATGATAAACTTTGAAGTCTCTAGCTCTTATATCTTCTGAAATCGACGCGTTCATACATACGGACAGACGGACAGACGGACAGACGGACAGACAGACGGACAGGGCCAAATCAACTCAGCTCGTCACCCTGATCAAGAATATATATACTTTGTGGGGTCTGCCACGCCTCCTTCTCCCTGTTACATACATTTCAACAAAACCATTATACCCTGATTTCCCATTGAAAATGGGTTCAGGGTATAATAAGAGCAACAATGAATAGTAGAAGGCGAGACAGAGAAACGGACGGACGGCGATGACGCGTCACATACAGTGCTGCCAATTTTGGAAAGGCCAGAAAAGCTCAATAGTGATTGGAAGGCAATTTCGAAGATTTATTTTAAATATGCATGTAGTATACATAAATGTGTATCCGTAAATTCATTGTAGTTTATATGTTCGATTCAATTTAATATTTTAATTTGATTAGATAAGTTTAACTAGATAATTTTGTAATTTTGCATAAATCCTGATCTGACGGGAAAAAAGCTGAAATGGCATCAGTGGTGACATATGCATGCAAAATGGACCCGCGGTTGACGGTAACGTCAGACGCTTGACGAACACTGCAAAGCGCACTCGCACGAATACGGCTAATGAATGCGAAGTGGAACATACAATAAGGAATGAGGCTAATTTTATGAAGGCGACGATTAAGTACCCTATGCTGTGAAATTCAACAACTAAGAGTTATTTAGATGCATACAAGTATGTAATACCTACATTAAGTCGCTTGTATATTGTAGGTATAGTATACATATGTATGACTGCGTTACTGTTATGTATACATATGTATGTTTGCATGTGCACAGATAATATATGGCTCGCAGAAGTAATGCAAAATTCAAAGTGCTGGTTCAACTAAAGAGTGCACGAAAGCAAACGCTTACAGTCGCACATTGGGCCAGCGAGCCGATTTTTCGACGAAAATTCAAGTTTTAGAGCTTCTTTGGTACATATGATAGAGTCGATACAAATAAAAATATATCTAAGTTTCAGACCGATCTGACCACGCCTTCCCTAGCCGCCCACATGAGATTGGTTTCCTCTTATTGATACGTGTACGGTAATTAATAATGATCGAACTTATTAAATTCAACAAATGTTTTTAATTAATTTTTTAATAATAATAATTAATAAGTAAAAAATAACAATGCATTCAAAATGACTATAAGCATTTTACATTTAAAAATGTTCCTAAAAATAATCTTCTTCTGTTCAATTTTTCTGCCGAAACTGCGGTGGCAAGGAGAGATGTGTTGTGAGCTGAATTGGATAACAGTTCTCTCTTCTGACAAGGACCGGTGTTAACATATTTAATGGGTGGTCGTCCAACTGGTCTTGATGTTGACGGCTTCGGATTTGAAGACAACAATGAACTTACTGTCATAGCTATATTGGACAAAAGCCATTTGGTATGTATTGTCTAAAATCTTTTTTTTCTTTTGCATGTAATGGTGAAAGCTTCTCACTTTGGTGTTGATTTCATCCTTTTTCTCCGTGCTTAAGTCGAATTCTTTCCATTCACCATAAATCCAACTCGAAACAGCAGATGCGCGAACATTTTTTTGTATGTAGTTCTCAAGCAGTTGCTCATTGGCGAATTCAATCACAACTACAATATAAGGGATATATACACATCGGGGCAAAATGGTGCAAACATTTTGTTTACATTAGTTTATATACACTTTGCACTATAATGTCACATAATTACTTTTTGGCACAACTTGGCACAAAGTGTGTTATAATCCACAATAGACGGATTAGCAGGTTAGCTTTTTTCTAATTTTGGACAGCTCAAATAAATGCCCAAAAAAAAAAAACACATTAATACGTTATTAATTTTTTTTTAATACAAATATTCTACATACCCTGGACTTTCTTTTCCAAAATTTTAGTGAAAATAGCTAAAACCACGATAATTTTTCACGCTAGCAATTAGCCAGAATGTCATGAATGCATCAAAGCAATTAAAATCTTTTGATTCATTTTAGTCAAAGTATATCTTATTCATGTTTTTTAATTAAAATAGGTTGACTTTCTTTAAAATATTTGAATTTTCGTCGAAAAATCCGCGCGCTAGCCCAATGTGCAATCCAAGAACGCCGACGCAGCTACATAGGCAATGTTAAGTATACATACATACATACCTATGCATATATCCATTGACACATACTACTTTTGCTTCTGTGGATGTATGTATGTATGTATATTCATTTGTGTGCATACGCATACATATGTGCGTGTTGTGCTTCCCTGCGCGCCATTCAGAAAGCTTTGCGTTTTGCGCCCGTGCTGCGTTTTGTTGCGGTTTGTTGTTGTACGTGATTTGTTTACGAATCTTAACAAAATTCTTATGTACACAAATGCCTTAAATTACCGCGAAAGGCGTTATTCGTTTACATATTTTGTAGACATAAATACTGAAAATGAAATCACAGTTCTTGCTGTTATTGCATGCCTCCAAAATCAATAATGGCGCATCGACTGTGCATGACGATCACTGCAGCCACAGAAAGCTGTCAATAACACGTTTTCGATTTTGTCCATATTATAAATACAAGATGTACGCATATGTATGTACATATGTATGTGTGTATGTATACTAACAGTGAAATTTCATTAACACGAACTAAAATCTTACAATCTGACATTCATCAACATACTTTTAATTTTAACATTTACTTAAAAAACATGTAGAATATCTGCACATACATACATACATACATATGTATGTATGTAATTGTACGAAATTACATATTGCTCAAAAAATTGTATTAAACAACTATCTATGCATTCAATGTTAACTGTTGTAGTCAAGTTCAAGCTAGGCAACTTCAACTGTATCGCCTATGTACATACATACATTCATATGTATGAATGAATGTACATACAATATATGTATGTATGTATGTGCATACATGCATAAAACTGTTTGATTGGCGGACTGAGTCACAACTACAGTTGTACACATGCATATAGATATGTATGTATATATGTATGTATGTATATACATATGTGTATGTATGTGTAGTTCCATTTGGTGAGGGAGCCTATACTATGAGTGGAGAACAGTGCACTGTAGCCTAAGCGCAGTCTCTGCTAACTGCGCAGTTAACGGAGTACTTGCTTACTTGTGCGTATGGTTGCATGCTTATTTACATATATGTATATGTGTGTATGTATTTTTGTATGTATACATACATATGTATAAAAGAAGTGCAAAATGATTGAAATATCAGTTCTTCGCACGGTTCAGGGTATTTCCTAGTCGAGCAGTCTCGACTAGAGCACTCTTACTTGGTTTATTTTGCAAACAATTAATAAATATGGATTTTATAGATACAGCAATGCTGATTGAATTTCTACTGTTCGATAAAAAAAAAGTAAGAACGTTGCAGTCGAGCGTTACAGCTTAAACGCTGGCACTACAAATGCCGATTGCCACGCCCCTACTGGCCGTAGACACCTCATTTTTGGCCAGTTTTGAGAACGACCTAATGGTAACGTAACTGTAAAGTTTGAATGCCGAATGATATGCCACGCCCCTAAAAAGGCGTAACAATTATTTTTATGTCATCGATAGAAAAACTTACCAGTAATTCAACTATCCAAATTTGAACCTTCTAGCTTTTAAATTGTAGGAGGTATAACTTTTTCTGTTTGACACGCCCCCTGTGGGCACACATACATATATCCCGAGTAATACATAAATACCAAATTTCAGGTCTCTAGCATCAATAGTGCCTAAAATATAACAGAAATTGAGAAATCACAGCCCCTAGAGGGCGGATTTTAATAGCGCCAATAAATTGCGTTCATACGAACAGACGGACGGACGGACAGACAGCAAAAAACCAATATACTCCTTTCACTTTCCTGAATGAATGATTCCAAGTAAGAAAGGTCTAGTAGTGACTGCTCGACTACGACATCCCCGGAAGTCTTTGAACAACTGATATTTCACTAATTGAAATACGCCTTTTACAAATTAAGAGGTGACGGGTTATGTATAAGGGTGGGAGGTGAGTTATAAAAAATCTAAATTCTGTAAAGTACAAATGAATCTACATTTAAAATTTGGCAACTCTAGTTCCAAAGATGTAGCAGATATAAATGTATTGCCAATTATACCCTGAACCCATCAAAAAAGGGAAATCAGGGTATAATGATTTTGTTGAAATGTATGTAACAGGCAGAAGGAGGCGTGGCAGACCCCACAAAGTATATATATTCTTGATCAGTGAGAGGAGCTGAGTCGATTTGGTCCTGTCCGTCTGTCTGTCCATCAGTCCGTCTCCAAAAAACGATAGCTACTCCTGATATTTTGTTATCGATTAAAAACGTATCGAAAACTAGTTATTGAATTGTATCTCCTACACCTTTAAAGCTATAGTCTCCAAACTTTAAATGTTGACTTACTACTGTATATGTATGTATTTTATTTAATTTCGTTTTTTGGTGTAATTCAACCCCCACCCCTATATACACTCCCTCATCCACATATTTGTAAATTTCAAATACTAGAGACTTGTGCTTTGCATGCATGCATTTCAATGTTTTAATCACGACTTACAATTTTCATAGAATAGTCCATCGCCAAGAAAATTTATTAAACAATTCATTTCTCATAGTAAGCCCACACTGCAGTCCATGCGTGTTTATGCGAGGCGAATAAATATCAATCCTTAGAAGGGTTCAGGGGATTTCATAGTCGAGCAGTCTCGACTATAGCTCTCTTACTTGTTTTCAATAATGTTTTTAATCGATAAAGTATCGGATTTTTAAATGCTGCTGCTAGACGACGCGAACGTTTCGTATGAAAGGGAGTGTAGCGAAGTATGCAGAATATTTGTTGGGTTAGGCTAGCCTTTAATTAGTTGATTTTGGACGTACCGGGCATATATACATATACATACATATGTATGTAGGTATATCATGTATATATTTATACGTATAATAAATAAATACATATGTCTACATTTGTATATTTGTCATCCTGATCAAGAAGCTATATAGTTTTCGGGCTTCTCTCACGACTCCATCTGCCGGTTACATACAAGAAATCATATATGTACATACATGTGCACACATACTCATATGCTTACGCCCTGAATCAGCAATCTCAATTAATTCAGAGAATAATAAATTGAAAGCTATAAGAATTAGCAATGTTAGTAATTTCTGTGATAAATTTTTTGGCATTTTATTATGGGCTCTCTTTGGCTATTAATTTGAATCATTGAAACTAATTTTAATATATTATATATAAAAGAAATATTTAATATATAAGACAACAATTTAATTTTTAGCTAAATGTTGAAAGCCCTGACTTTATACATACATACATACATGTGTATGTATATATGTTTACCCTGTAAGTCAAATATATTCAATGCCCATTCCTCAGATTCTCGTTGTCAAAGTCCTAATGATAATAGATAATAACATTGTGTGACAACCAGGCTGAGTATCTAACGTTATGCTAATTATCATTAAAGACATATATACATATAGGTTTGTATGTGTATACATGTGTGTATGTGTAGTAAGTGTTGCCAAAATACATGCATACATATGTATGTATAATGTATATACAGCACTTGCATTCATCACTCACCAGGCGCAGCGTATGGTTGGACTGGGGGCTGCTAGGTGAGGGGTGCCAGTTGTCAAGAAGTGGGGTCAATGTGCCCGACATCGGTCTCAGCCCCAGCCCCAGCCCTATCCAAGCCAGGCTGCAATTCCAATTAGCATAAGCTATAAGTCCAGTCAGGCAATAAGAACTTGTTAATTGTGGCTGAGGCGATTTGGCCAAACATTTCCGCGGCTAGGGAGTCATTATGAGTGGCATGTTAACGAGCAGATGCTCACATGCTATTTAGAAATATGCATACACATATAACACCATACACACATACATATTAATGTATGTTTATATGTATATGCTCAATATATGTACTGCATGGTCGCAGATATTTTTTATGGCTGGAATGCAATGTGTTGGCAAACAAGGAAGTCGAATTTTTTGAAGCAAGCCGAAACAAACTGGAACTGCGATATAGAAAATGTTTGTTGTTGGAACGATTGAGGCGAAACCAAATACTGAACGCTATACCCTACACATGAAACATTAAGCACGAAACACGAAACATGAAACTATAAAGGAAACTGCTAAATTAGTGCGAACCATTTGCATTGATTAGTTTAATTCATATTTGAATGTTTATTTGATTTGCCGCATGTAGAATTAGCATACCAGACATCGAGCTCGAGTTTGACTTAGACAACCAGATCGAAGATGGTAGCATTATTTCGGCCCGATCACCTGTGCCCTATGCTGCGCGCGATTCACCTGCGGCCGGTCACCTGTTTGTATCTCTGCGCCCACTGCCGCTCCGGTGGCACCTGCTCGGTGCTCTATTCATTAAACGATCCACTAAGCATATGCATGAAAGTCGCACGGGCCAACGACGGCGCCATTAGCCGGTCAGAGACAGTTAGAAAACAAGTTTGGAAGCTGGGCTCTTGATATCATCAGTTGAGATGATGCCATATTCAAGCAGTTGCCGGCTACGAAATGACAATAAATATTACGGATTTTTTTCTCGTTTTTCGGCAACCCATAAAATGTTCTCTCGCCCATCTATGTATGTGCTAAATGAGTCTACGAGTAAAATATCACAATCCACAAAAATATAAATAAATAAATAAACAAAAACCAACAAAAAGAATACATAGAATAAAATGATAATAATAATCGTTATGGGCATACGAAGCAAAATTTAAATTGAAAAAAAAAAAAAAAAACGAATTAATTAAATTAGTTAAATGGCCATGAGTGTCACATTAAAATTTTTGTTTTACTTTTGCTCAAACTAGTTTCGGATCTGAAATATTCATATAGATATATGATATTACGCAGATTCCACGAGACGAGCCTCTGGAAACGAACAAGAAGAGATATAGCAAAAAATTGTTAAATCTATAGCAAATATTTATGTATATATGTGTCTAGTATCGTTTATAACATATTACAGTTTTACAATCTGAAGTGATCGACTAGAATATACCCTCTATGAATTATTTCCATGCGGAAACTGACAGTATATATGTATATATACATAAACTGTTGTTTATAACTCAATCAATTGGTTAGCTATCGAAGAGCATTATTTGAGTATACAATCATAACATCCTCTTTTAGTCTCGCCAATTTTCTAATTAAGAAGCTATTACACACAATTTCCACTCCTTTTGGAGACATATAAATAGAAATAAAAATCCCCGATCAAGTTGCCTGTCATAATCTTACAAATATTTTGTCAGATATCAGGCACGTGTGAGCAGTTCTGCAATAGTTGATAAATAATTAATTAATAATGAAGCAGAAATAGCAACAGAAAAAAAACTTCTCACTATAACTACAGTAGTTCCTATTGTTAAAGAGTATATTTTCGGTATCTATATGGACGTATTAGTATTTCTGTTTCGTCACATTTGAACTCATTTGAGAGACGTTCCAACTTAACGACATGAGAACGCCCCACGGACTGGGCAGGGGCTTGGCAAAAGCATTGAAAAGCATTTTCAATATTTTCCGTTGTCAACCGTAAGTAGGTGAGATGATGATCAAACGAACTGACAATACGAGCTAAGCATCTCTAGATATATATAGAGATATACACTTATACAAACTTTGTCCTAGTCGCGTAATTGTTGGCTCGGTACAGCTCCGTCAAAGTTTCGGAGAGACCAATTAAGATAAGCATAATGCTGAAATTCAAAACCAAAAAAGCCTTAACAGTCGAGCCAAAACAATGAATGTGCTGAGACTTACCTGAAAATGCCAAAGGACAAAAACAAAACAAAACAAAAAATAAAGAAAAAAAAAACATGCCAAAGAATATTTTGCATCAAATGGAAGAGCTTTTCATACATTCAATAAAATATATTAAGAAAAAACCCCCTATAGTTATACCTAAAAAATCAAATAAAGAAAAAGAAAAAGACAAAACCCAAGAAAAAGTGGTTGAACTCTATTAGGAGCCAAAAAGCTTTGTCCCTGAACCAAGCAGCAACTGCTCTGCCAGCTATTCATTTGTGCGTCTTTCTACCTGGCTGCCAAATCCAATCAGAACAACATACCCAACTTAGATGTCGTCCTTGCCATCCTTGCCTTCTTATCAAAGTACAGTAGAGTAGCAACAACTCAAGATATTTGTTTCGCAACTCAGTGAATTAATTTTGTTGAGTGTTTATGGAGATGAATGGAAGGCACATATCAAAGTATCTAATATATAAGACGATTCCTACACGATGTCATAAGATATATCTAGGCTCTCATACTGAATCCATTGAAGATGCGTGATTAAATGATTTTATGTTACAGACAAAAAAAGGGAGTGGCCCATTCCGCAGTCCGTCCATATGTCTATCAATTGTTATACTATGTATTACATTGCTCGGTTGAAATGAATACATCCCATTAAAAATATAATCAGCCATTAGCTAGACTTCAGAGCCAAAGATTATAAATAAAAGCGTTTTTGTGTAAATACAAATGTTTGATATTTTATCTCTAAGCTTTGTGGGAACTTATGAAATGAATTCTCTGTAAAGCTTCAGCTGCATTGCAAATTAGTCCTGTACGACAAAGTTTTTAAAACTAACTAATTGAATTATTAATAATGGAGTAGCTAAGTAACTGTAATTTTTTCAAGGGGGTGTTTGATCTAAATAGCGGAGTGTGAATTTCTTTAAACCCTATGTCTTTAGCAGTCAATAAATGTATATATATCAATCATATCCGGCTATATTCATTCCGCAATTTATTTTGAAGCAAAACTTAGCTCGATGGAATGGTAGAATTGGCTAAGCAGCAAGCGTTTCGCTTGCAGACACTTTTCCTAATTATATAGATTACGAATAATATTGAAGTACACGTGAAACGTGATTTCAAGAAATGTGATTCAAGAAAACCCCCTTCAGTTCTTGAACGTTTTTTAGGCACTTGAGTCTTATCGCTACGATTTGTTAGTCAGTCGAACGGTCGACCGTTTGGACGGTCGCTGAGGTCGGTAAATAAGCCAATCTGAAATAGACGCCTAAGAAAATATTTATGGTAATAGCCACAAATAAAATTCAATCAAATATTAAATAGTTAACGTTATCTGTGCCTTGGCATCGGGGCCTCGATGTCGGTTCAAATTAAACGAATATTTGATATGGAGGTGTAGAGTTCTCCATTCGATGGTATTACAATTTGTTCACGAAAACAGTGCATTACATTTCCAATAGATAATAACTACAGTATAGTCATATTTAGAGTTCCTTCTAATTCATTTAATATAATATTATTTACTTTCTATATTTAATTAAAGCTATCTCAATCTGATGAGAACGAGTATTTTCAATTCTTGCTTAGTTGAGGTTGAGATTATCGATGTCCAAATGAATTTTTCAATACATGTATATATAAAAATATTTTTTTTTTAATATCGTAGATTTTTCTATTAACAATAGAAAAAAACTTAAAATATTCTATGGAATAGAAATAAGTCTAATAGATGGAAAGTGCAACAAAAATCTAAGTTCATAAAAAGGGAAGTCTTGGAATACTATATTAACTTTCATATAAATACATCCCACATCCCGTTTCTATGGTAAATAGATCGATGAAGATGTTCCGGTATACTTCCATACGTAGTACATATATGTACATACCAAATATATATATTACTATATCTGGGTATATACAGGTATCCTTCGTATAACGCGGTCTTATACAACCCGATTTCGATATAACGCGATTTAGAAAAATTAGGGTTCAGTACAACGCGAAATTTAGGCTTATATAACGCGAAGGGGAAAATTCATAATTATAACGTGCAAAGATCTTTGAAGACAGTGAAACAGATTAATTACCATATGAAGTTTGAAGAATAAAAATAAAGTTTTTAATAAACCTTTAATTTGTTTTAGTTTGTTTATAATTTTTTTAATGTGCACATAATTATTTAAATTTTGTTTTTTGAATTTTGATTATTCATATCTTGTAATGAGTTGAAATATATGTGCATCTGTTATTTTGTATGTATTTTATTGAAAAACAAACCTATTGGAACCTAACCCCCAAATTTATATGAAAAGTATGTTTTATATAACGCGGATTTACATAACGCGCAATTCTTCTGGAACGTAACTATCGCGTTATACGAGGGATACCTGTACTATACTTATCCAGAATTATGACAGAATGCCCCTTAAAAACTGAGCTCTTAAAACTGTCATGACACATTTTGGAACATACTTATATACTTGATGGATCAAACGAAAAGAAACTATTTAACAATATCACATCAAATCATACGTAGTTGAAATACTTTGAAAATATATTTATTCATTATATTTTTCCTATATTGGAAAAAATAGCTAATTATAATCCTCAACTATTGTTAAGAGAAAGAGAGAGAAGAGACTGTATTGTCCCATAGAAGTCTCATTGACTGAAGTTCGTTCACAGCCTGACGAGGGTCAATTATGCGCTTCAATTAAATTGTATTCAACACACACTCACACTCATACACACACACACCCAAATAAAGAATTAAATATGGATTGGGCCACCGAATGTGCGACGTAAAATCATAATAAACAATGAAAAGCACAACATGGATCAGACCGAAGGGCTAATTGAATGGGCCAAAAACACAAGGGTGGAAAATTGCTATAGCTACATAAATACATATAATATACACAGATGCTTAAGGTAAAATACCTAACATACAAGTTTAAGTGGCATTTGTAATCTCAAGGAACTTAAGTAGATGAATTGAATTGAAGAATACGATGTTTGTATACTCCCTTAAACTGATTTTAAATTCACAATTGTATTTTTATTGATGAGGAAAACTAAGTAATGTTTGTAACACCATAGTGTTGCCATAGAATTTTTTGCCATAACACAAGGGTTGCTAGCGATCCTACTCAAAGGATCTACTGAGAATTACAAGTCTACTGCTTAATTGAAATTAGCGTCGTCATAACCCAACTCTGATTGACACACACGAGCACAGATCGAGAGCAAGAGAGAGTAAGAGAGACAGAGAGAGTAGCTAAGAATAAAGCACATTCTCGTTGAAGCGGCAGAATCAAAGACCCCCGTTTGATAGATGATAGCCCTGAAATCCAGTTGAAGTGTGAGCATATATCAAAGGCTAGACTCTATTAAAAAGCAACCAAATAAATTGAGTCGAAGCCAAGCTCGCATGCAAATGGCTTTTGGTGTAGGGCCCTCACGTGCCCGGTGGCCAATTTGGTGCTGAGCATTAACCGAAAATTCTGACACGTAACACTCGAAACATAAAAATTGACAAATCAAATGCCATGCACACACAGACACACGCTTCAACACGCACATGTACGCACAGGTGTGGATCAGTTGGGATCATTGCTAGCCTCCTGATGGCCAAGAAGAGACACACTCCAATAGTTCGTACGCTTTATGGGTTTTGCGAGTTTCTGAATTGGTTTCATTTCGCAAGAACTCTTCACTGGCCGCACTTGACACTACGTTCTGTTGCCTCCACCAGTTCTTCCTCTTTTGATGGGCTTTGGTCTTGGCAATCAGCATATTGTCAACACGTTCGGGCCATGCCGCGGCACAACCATTGTAATAAAAAATTCCCAAGAATGTTTAACCAGACTTCTGCGCGGCCCATACTAAAGACCAAACATTAGCATTTCAACCCACCGATTGCGTCATGGCGACAGTGTATGTGTGCGTGTGCCTGGGTGTGTGTGTGAACTACTCGTATGTGCGCTGTGAGCAGTCGCAGTCGCAACGCAGTTGCCGCAAGAAAAGTTAAGGAAAACAAGTAAGAAAACTCTAGTCGAGGGTGCTCGACTAGATACTACCCTGAAGCAAACTAATAAAAATGCACATTTAGTATGAAATACAAAACTCATTTAATAAAATATAAAAATATTTTGAACCCGAGAGATTCGAACCCGAGACTTATCGATCAAGCGTCACGCCGCTACTCATTACGCCACCCCACTTTAGGAAGCTGCGCCTGCAAAACTGAAATAGATTCACTGCTGCAGCGCCACCTAGCAGAACTAAATCAAACTAAGAATGTTCTAGAAGAAGTTTGAATGTATGTGTGCACTCGTATACGAAGACTGTTGTAGCTGCTGCACGTGCGTTTGTTAATTGGCCTAACATTTTATTATCTTTTAACGTCGATTGACTTAACGGAACTTATTGAAACTTTCAGCATATGATCTACATATTCTATTGAATATTTGACAAATTAAGAAAATGAAAAATCATTCAAAATTAGTTATACTGGCATCTGACTTGAACTTGAATATTTTTATTCGATAAAAACATAACGGGATGATTTATCCAATTTTAAAAGCAAAAATCGATATCCGGACACGGACATTTTACAAAAAAAAATTGAGGTCTCTAGCTCTTGTATATTCTGAAATCGACGCATTCAAGCATACGGACAGACAGACAGACGGACAGGGCCAAATCAACTCAGCTCGTCGCCCTGATCAAGAATATATATACTTTGTGGGGTCTGCCACGCCTCCTTCAGCCTGTTGCATACATTTCAACAAAACCATTATACCCTGATTTCCCATTGAAAATGTGTTCAGGGTATAAAATGAACTAATGGATTTGCCACGATAAAGCAAGAAGAGTTGCCTCTTTGGGGCCAGGTCATTAGCAGTCAATGCCTAGACGTGACGATCACCGACTCGACACCTTTAACCGGCCCCCTAGGCCAGCACCTGTAGACAGCAGGTTGCCCATCCGCACGGATCATCCGCTTAAAGTCAACCGGTTCAGTTGCCCACTGACATTTCAATCAGACTGCATGATGAGTAGATAATGAATGATGGAGTGCATAGACATATGAATTACATAGTAAAGTGTAAAATCTTCATTGAATGAGTACATAATTAATCCATTTATTTGTAAAGCTTTGTCTTCCTTTTTAAAGTAGATACATATATAAGTTGGTCCAGCTAATCACAAAAACGTGTGTAATATACAGACATACTTTTATATATTTACATTATAGTATATACATTTCATTTGGGCCTCCTTATCTGATTGAGTCAGAAATCGAATGATAATTCGGGTGGCTTTGCCTTTTGCCGCTCTCTGTCACTGCGTTCATCCCTTGCTCTGCGTCTGCCTCTGCCGCTGTCACTGTCACTACCTATGCTTCTGCCACTCTGTCAATGTTTTGCAATGCGCCCTGAAACGTCTCTGCCGCTGCCGCTGTCGTCGTTAACTGAGACCACCAACGGGATTCTATTTATAGCTGAGCGCTGATGCCTTTGTTACGTCGTTTCGTCTTTTTGTGAGTTCTGGACGATTGGTACTCGACTGGTTCTATGGTGTAATGGTTAGCACTCTGGACTTTGAATCCAGCGATCCGAGTTCAAATCTCGGTAGAACCTTCAGCGTGTTTTTTTTATACGTCATTCATCGAATCAATTTTTAAAATTTTTATTCATGCAAGGATTGCTTTAACATACTTATTTCTTAATTATTTGTGTATTTTTTATAGGGCTGTTGAAAATATATCAAAATATCAATATATCGAAATTTTTGTATGCAAAATATATATTTATATCGTTTTTGTATTTTTTTGTTGTCTAAATATCGAGTATTTTTTGCAATATTTTTGACATATTTGAGTGATAAGTGAGCCAATCGAAGAGTAAAAAAATTGAATATGGTGAAAACGAATTTTTCGGATTTTTTGAATGGAACAGCCGAATATAATTTGCGCTTTAAAATAAAAAGTAATAAAAACAGGTAGCTAACACATCAGCGGGCAGCGGGAATTCTGGATAAAAAAAAAATAATAATAATAATTTGCTTTTTCCGCTTTTTTCTTTACTGATAAATTTATCATAATTTGATATCGAACTGCTTGTTTCTATGTAAATAAAAAGTAAAAATTCTCTAACAGAGCTTATAAAGCAATTAAAAAGAATGTATGCAACTCATTTGTAGTACAAAAATGTATGTGTAAAATATGTTTTAATTAATAGGTTGCCGGCAAATTTTCAAATAGTGTAAAATGTTGGTTCGTTTTCTTGCATTTGTATATATTTTCCGAGTAAACGAAAATAGTATCGTTCCAATTCTAGAGTTATTCAATTCAAAGAACATTGAAAGTATTGAAGTCCAATATAAGAATATTCACCCAATTCAGTGGTGAAATTCTTAAGACTCTACACAGTTTAGTTTGAGAGGTGTGCTTATAAGTATTCGGGAGGAAATAAAAAATGTAGGGACTTGGCCACTTTTGCAATGGCATTACTTTCCTTGCCATGGTCGAACGCGCAAGTGGTAAGAAGTTTTAGTCAGGTCAATACTGTAAAAACATAAAAACGCAATAAAATTAATATTGATATACTCAATTTTAAGCGTCAGGTAAAACGTATATAGTGTAATACTTTACAGATACGGCTTGCCACGGTTGAAGAAATGCTGCCATGACTTCTAGTTACTAAAAATATATTTAAATATCAATCAAATTAAAGCAACATTTTTTTCAAACTTTTTTCATAAAATTTCAGCTTTTTTTTAAAGTAACTTCCAACTAAAAACAGCTTTTTTTGCCCAACAAAAGTTAGCAACAGCTGATCTACTGACCTGGCACACAACAACAATAGACGAAGGCTTAAAAGGCTTCACCCTTTGGACCACAGATTTCCACAAAAACTTGTAAATTTTTTAAATATGTGTAAATAATGTAAATACTGACTTCTAGCTTAAGGTTTAATGATGACTGCGCTATAGAGTTTAAGACAAGAAGCCGCAATAAAAAATTATTTAAAAAAAAAAAAAAAATATATATATGTATTTGAAATACGTCTTCTACAAATATTTGGGTAGATATAGGGGTGGGGCTAAATTTTGACAAAAACCGAAATTGTATAAAATGCATATAAGTAAAGATGTAGGAAATAGAATTTTATAACTGATATTCGATATGGGTTTTTATCGATAAAAAAATAACAGGATGAGTTATCGATTTTTGGTGATAAACTCGATATCCGGGCTGTATATACGGACATTTAAAAAAATTGAGGTCTCTAACTCTTATATCCTCTGAAATCGACGCGTTCATACATACGGACAGACAGACGGACCGAACTAAATCGACTCAGCTCGTCGCCCTGATTAAGAATATATATACCTTGTGGGGTCTGCCACGCCTTCTTCTGCCTGCTACATACATTTTAACACAACCATTATACCCTGATTTCCCATTGAAAATGGGTTCAGGGTATAAAAAAAAAAACATTATGATAGTTTTGAGTACCGAATACTGGAGTAAAGCGGTCTTTATCATTTAAATAATATAAATGTATTGTGGGAATAAAAAATATTAATAAAATCATTGATATATCGATATTTTTAAAGTTGAATACCAAATATCATATTGACATTTTTTAAAAACTTAAAATATCGATACAATATTTAAAAAGTATTCGACAATTATTTACTTCCGCTGACAGGTATTACTGTTGCCCAATTGACAGAATGGGACACGTGGTAATGCACCAAATGAGATAACGTACCATGCTATTTAATAGCCTATACTTCATACTCCACTATCTGCTTAATCAAGTGAGAAAATCATTCGTTTATTTGCCAGTCCCCCAAGTACCCTATTACGCGCCCTATTGGCTGCCAAGCCCGATAATGACGAGTTTGATTTCTTTTTCCTCCTATCTGTTTCCATTTGTTCTGTTACGCATTTTTGTTTACCTTTTATTGGAGGGTGAACTATTTTACGTTTAGATATGTGAGTATATAAATGTATACATATGTATATGCAATGTATGCCGGAACCCATTAAAGTTCTCGTAATGGAACATTAAAGAAAGAACCGATTCTTTCAAATATATATATATATATATATATATATATATATATATCACCAAGACTGAAACACGAAAGACGGTTAAAAACATTTTCATAAATCAGTAATAAATTAGTATCTGTCACATCTTTAGAGCTAGTCTCCAAATTTAAATTGTAGATTCATATGTACTTTATAGAGCTTCGATTTTTGTCAACATTTACCTCCCACCCCTATATTCACCCCTCACACTTACTTTTGTAAAAGGCGTATTTCAAATACTAGAGACTTGTGCTTTGGCAAATGCGTACATATCCATGTTATAATCATAATGTGAAAGGCCTCAAGAAAAGTTATTAAACAATTTAATTCCCATAGTAAGCCACCACTGCAGCCAATGCGTGTTTATGAGTGCGTGTGTATGCCTGTGTTGAAGGGATCAGAGGATCTCGTAGTCGAGTAGTCTCGACAAGAGCTTTCTTCCATTTTTATACCCTGAACCCATTGAAAATGGGAAATCAGGCTATAATGGTTTTGTGAAAAAGTATGTAACGGGCAGAAGGATTCATCGCAGACCCCATAAAGTATATATATTCTTGATCAGCGCGACGAGCTGAGTCGATATAGCCCTGTCCGTCTGTCCGTCCGTCCGTCCGCATGAGTGCGTCGATCTCAGAAGTTACAAGAGCTAGAGAGCTGAAATTTGGCATGCATACTCGTGTGTACCATACGCAGTACGCAGTTTATAATATTTTTTCGATAAATCGTTCGGTAACTATTTTATCGAGAATAATCGAAAAATAGATTTTGTTTTTTTCAGCCTAAGTTGAACAATTTTAGACCTAGTGACTTCAGATTTACTGTATATATACACTTAATCGATACGAAGATTTTGTAGCTTACTGATTTTGGATACCACGCCCCCTTCGCCTACAATTTGTAAAAAATCCATTTCAAGTACTAGAGACTTGTGCTTTGGAATGTACACACATTTTTTACGTTTTAAAAGTTTTATTAAGATTGTATGTCTACAATATATTCAACAAATAAATTCTCATAATATTGCCCACACTGCAGCGCAGCCCAAGCGCAGTCGCTGCCAACTGCGCAATCAGCAGAGCGCGTGATTATCGTGCGTGTGTATGCATGTGTGCATAAAAGAAGTGCAGAATGAGTAGAATATCAACTTAGAGGGCTCAGGGTATCTCCTAGTCGAGCAGTCTTGACCAGAGCCTTCTCACTTGTTTTTTGGAGGAAAGTAAAAGTTGGCTGTTTGGTTAGTTCTGCAAATAGTCGAAACACCGGAAATATGAACACAATTTCTCAACCTGGCCAAAAGACTGACAGAGCATGGACGAACTTGTTGCTCAATTAGCAAAATGCCTACGAGCTGCTTCTGCTTGCTAATGGCAAGCTTCAATGGCCACTGACATGGTCATCATTATTACTTACGCGTATTTTAAAGTGTTTAGATAAATACATGAAATAAAACTGGAAAACTAACAACAACAACGGACCACGGACAACAGACAACGGGCGTCAGACATCTCACATCGGACAGCAGCTAGCAACATGGCCCAAGCAGTTGCTAAAATAGCCTACAATCTTTTTTGGTTAGACCACTATCCCTCCAGCTCTAGCTGTCCCCCAAATAGCCCTCCTCCTCTCCACGCACATTTTTTCCGTTACAATGTTCATTCATTTATAACGAATTTCAACATTGAAATGTTGAAAATTTGTTAAGCAGTTTTGTCCGGATCATGGACCGAACCATTCCGCCTGTATGTCTGCCCGTCTGGCTGTCTGCCCGGGGAGGAATTCTTCCCTCTTCATCGTTTTTTCTATTATTTTTAAACTCTTTTTCCGCATGTTGCTTTAAACAAATCATCTTCATTCATGTCGTCTGGCTGTCTGTCAGTGCAGCTGTTGTCTAAAAGACATTAGTTCGTAACTTAATTAATGCTTTTGTGTTAATTGCCACAGTAAAAACAATACAAAATGTTTTAAAACTACAAACAACTACAACACCACGATAAGCCTAAAATCTTCAACAAATAATGAAACTTCGAGCTTGTATTCCCAAGAATTGTAAATTGTGTTTTTATACCCATTGAAAATGGGAAATCAGGGTATAATGGTTTTGTGATAAAGTATGTAACGGGCAGAAGGAATCCTCGCAGAACCCATAAAGTATATATATTCTTGATCAGCACGACAAGCTGAATCGATATAGCCTTGTCCGTCTGTCCGTCCGTAAGTCCATATGAGTGCGTCGATCTCAGAAGTTATAAGAGCTAGAGAGCTGGTACAAGCTACGCAGTACAAGTTTATCATATTTTGTCGATAATTTATCCGATAACTTTTTATCGAGAATAATCGAAAAATTTATTTTGTTTTTTCAGCCTAATTTAAACACTTTTAGACCTAGAAACGTCAGATTTACTGTATATATACAGTTAATCGATGCGAAGATTTTTAATTTACAGATTTTGGATACCACGCCCCCTTCGCCTACAATTTGTAAAAAATCCATTTCAAGTACTAGAGACTTGTGCTTTGGAACGTACACACATTTTTTACGTTTTAAAAGTTTTATTAAGATTGTATGTCTACAATATATTCTACAAATAAATTCTCATAATATTGCCCACACTGCAGCGCAGCCCAAGCGCAGTCGCTGCCAACTGCGCAATCAGCAGAGCGCGTGATTATCGTGCGTGTGTATGCATGTGTGCATAAAAGAAGTGCAGAATGAGTAGAATATCAACTTAGAGGGTTCAGGGTATCTCCTAGTCGCGCAGTCTCGACTAGAGCATTCTTACTTGTTTTCCTAGGTTGTTTTTTCTTTTTCAAGATTATTGAATGATATTATATAGCCCAGGTATTCGCTGGAACCTGCTTCATTAACTAAAAATTATAAGTTATTTAGTATCGAGAAGAGTTCAGGTTTTGCCAGATTTGTAGACTTTGACACTTTTTCGGCACGTTTCACTGCACAAGTCGCAAGCGGAATTGGTCAAAAAGTAAAAAAAGGAGAAAAAATCGCAGGTAAAAACATTTGTGGCTGAATGATACCCGTTCTCGATTCATAACCTCCAAGATCCTGACAATTGCTGATAATATTTGATATAGATAGATAAGATAGACTTTGATATTATATGTACTGACATAGATTTTCCGCTTATAGGTATAGGCGAGGTTATTTTGATATAAGAGACTTTTTGCTGCCGATTGGCCAGGTCACAGAAAATGTAGTCTTAGGGAGAAAACTGACAACAAGATGAGCATTCCGCCAAACTAAATATAGTCTCCTCCGCGCATAAGGAGAGTAAACCATGCTGCAAACTAGACGTGAATTATTCAATAGAGAATCATTTGTTGCTGCACAGACAATACAAGCGGCATAGTGCAGCGAGCAATATGGAGCGTGAAACGTGGAGCAAGGGCGGGCATTAAATTCATATCGATTGCGTCGGTTCGAGCAAGTTTTCAATCCATCTACTGCAAATCCGGTAAGTACTACTTTCATCTGGACATTAAGCATTGAAGAAAACCAGCTGTTAAATTTTTATAATAAATATGAAGTTAAATGCGCATACAGTGTTCGTATAATGTTGGCAGTATAATTCAAAGCAAAAGAATTGTAACTAAGATTCAAGTCTTATAAACATACTACTTGATCTAGCTCTGCTCATCTGATCTAGCTCAGCTCTATCTGTCACTCTGTACAATGACATCGAATTTGGAGTTAGAGACTTGGTCAAGCTGGGTGTTAAAAAATTCAAGTTTCCTTCAAACGTCTTTTATATATCCAATGCATAGTCCGTACAAGGCACACCACAAATTCCAAAAATATGAAATTTGTAAGCAAGTATTTGATAATTAAATCAAGTTGGTTATTGTGAGATGCTACAAGGTAAGATGAAATTTCTAAATAAATGGTTTGAAGACTCTATTGATACTCACTCGCTTCCGTACTTTA